GGCGAAAACGACAATCGTTTTTTTTTCAACACACAGCAAACGAAGAGAAGACTACACTCTGCTTCCCCCCCGCGAATGACGCGTTACCGGCTAATCTCACACAAATTTCACCTCTTCCTGGCAAATTCTCATCACCGTGAAAGGAAAATCCAAACGCGCATTCCCATCCAAGCACAAGCACCACACTAACATTGCACCAATTTAATGCATTTCTCCGTCACATTGAAAAAAATTTCACCAATTTCACGACATCTCAAACACACGAGTGAATGGAGTGAGATAGACGAAGGCAAGCGCGAATAAACACCACTGAAGTCGACACAACGTCCACTCAGGAGCGTAGCAAGAACAAAAATTTTTCAATATGAAAGAGGAAAAAAAACACTTTCTAAATACAAGAAAAGTATTTTCGGAGTTTAATTAATTAATCCCTCGTTTCTAATTTTCTTACAAGGACAAACAGAAGGTGAATTAGAAAAAAAGCAATTACCTTTTGTCTTGAATAATCCAATGAGAACACACACAATTTTTCTTTGAAAAATAAAATTTTCTTCTTCTTTTTTTTGGAGTGGGAGGGGCAAATTTTAAACGAACAATCCAATTATTAAGTAAATAGAACAAATACGATCACTAATCGTCAGGGAAAGATCGCTCATTGTGACAAAGACACACACAACTATCTTTTTCTCTATATAAAAAAAACTTCCGTCGTTTTTGCGATGCGATTTAACTCTTTTTTTTTTCTCTCTTTCTGTCCCTTTTTTTCACACACAATTTTCACTCACACGCACTCGTCACGCGACTCGGAACAACACACGTACACACGTGCGCCAGGAGCGTAAAATGGGCGCCAACACCCCAACCCATTAAACATTGTCGAGAATCTCAATTTTCAGACAACATCACACACCACGTGTTCAGAGACCATCCACGCCCGACTGTCAACTGGATCTCTTTCTCGGTCGCCGGCAACAATTGTTATTCCATGGCGTGTAGCCACCGACGAGCGCTGCCATTTTTAGCGGATTCGCCGTTGCATGCCTCCACCGCCCTGACCTCCTCACACACCACCACCCCCCCTTTTGTAAACTATGTAAAACGCACCCTGTCCACCGGAAAAGACACCTCACACGTAAAGATCCTTCATTATTTATTTATTTTTCTTTCCTTTTTCATTTTATTAACCAAATTCTGAATGAAAATTAAGCGGAAAATTATTATTTCTCATGAGAATATTACCGAGAAGATTTCTTTTGCCGCGAAATATTTGATTTAATTTTTATTACATAATATTTGATAAATTTAAAAACAAAAATAAAAAAAAATACAAGAAACTTTCGTATTCAAAATGTTAAATTCGATTTCTTGAAAAATTTGTTTTAGGGCAAAAAAAAAGGAGAAATGAAGAATTAAAAAAAAAGTAAATTGCAAAAAAAGTACAAAAATAAACAAAGTTGAAGTCCACAACGTTTATCAACGAAAAAAATTTATTTAATACATTCAAGTATTATTTTTAATTTAAAAATTGTAAAATAATTATTATCAAAATATAAACATCAATCTTTTTTTCTAAACATTTTTGTGTCAATATTGCTGCGTATTTTTAATTAATTTACTAAGTAAACAATTTTTTTTCGTTGATCAACGTTGTGGATTTCAACTTGGTAAAAATAAAAAAAATACAAGAAAGTTTCGTATTCAAAATTTAAATACAATTTCTTTAAAAGTTTGTGGTAAAAAGAGAAGAAATAAAGAATTAAAAAAAAATTATATTAAAAAAAAGTACAAAAATAAAAAGAATACGAGAAACTTTCGTATTTAAAATTTACATTCGATTTCTTTAAAAATTTATTTTGTAAAAGAAAAAGAAGAAATAATGAGTTAAAAAAAGTACAAAAATAAGAAAAATACAAAAACTTTCGTATTTAAAATTTAAATTCGATTTCTTTAAAAATTTATTTTGTGAAAGAAATAGAAGAAATAAAGAATTAAAAAAAATTAATTTAAAAAAAAGTACAAAAATAAAAAAAAATACAAGAAACTTTCGTATTTAAAGTTTAAATTCAATTTTTTTTTAAATTTGTTTTGTGATTAAAAAAGAAGAAATGAAGAAATAAAAAAAATTAAATTGCAAAAAAGTACAAAAATAAACAAAAATACAAGAAAATTTCGTACTTCAATTTTAAATTCAATTTCTTTAAAAATTTGTTTTATGAAAAAAAGGAGAAAAGAACTTTGGTATTTAAAATTTAAATTCAATTTCTTAAAAAATTTGTTTTGTGTTAAAAAAAAGAAGAAATGAAGAATTAAAAAAAATTGTATTAAAAAAATACAAGAAACTTTCGTATTTAAAATTTAAATTCGATTTCTTTAAAAATTTATTTTGTGAAAGAAAAAGAAGAAGTGAAGAATTAAAAAAAATTAATTTAAAAAAAGTACAAAAATAAAAAAAATACAAGAAACTTTCGTATTTCAATTTTAAATTCAATTTCTTTAAAAATTTGTTTTATGAAAAAAAGGAGAAATAAAGAATTAAAAAAGTACAAAAATAAAAAAAAATACAAGAAACTTTCGTATTTAAAATTTAAATTCAGTTTCCTAAAAAATTTGTTTTGTGTTAAAAAAAAGATGAAATGAAGAATTAAACAAAATTGAATTTAAAAAAATACAAGAAACTTTCGTATTTAAAATTTTAATTCAATTTCTTAAAAAATTTGTGTTGTGGTAAAAAAAGATAAAATAAGGAATTAAAAAAAATTAAATTACAAAAAAAAATAAACAAAAGTACAAGAAAATTTCGTCTATTTAAAATTTAAATTCAATTTCTTTAAAAATTTGTTTTGTTGTAAAATAGGTTCTAATTTACTAACATTTATATCGTAATTTGCTAAAAAATCGAATTTGAGTTCATATCAAATTTGCCAAATTAGTTCTAAATAAATCAAATTGATTTACTTTTAAGGAACTTATTGAATTAACAAATAATTAAATAATTTGGAGAAAATTTACGTCCGAGAATAATTTAATTTTCAATAAAAAAACGACAGATTCGGACAACAATGTTAGTCTTATTTTTTAGAAGTCCAAAGTTTCGAGTTAAATCATAAACCCCTCTTCAGAGATAAAACAGAGAAATTATTTTAAAACAGAGTTAGTAAAAAAGTATAGAAGTTAAAATATTGACCATTTTTGAAAATAAAATGTTAAATAAATAAAGTATCATGATTAGTTTTTAAAAATGTAAAAAAATATAAAGTTAAATAAATAAAGTATCATTAGTCTCATTTACATAAATTTCAATTTTCCCGCAAGTTGACGCAATATTCTCGGTAATATTCCCACTCGTTAATGTTTTCGAGGGAAAATTATTGCCAACACCAAAAGAAAGTTGTTTTCTCCTCCCGGCACTAATATTTTTACACAAGAAAATCCTTTCGATCACTAAATTATCAATTTTCCCGCGATAAAAAAATTGACAAAAAGAAAATTTTTGTTTACAAACAGAAGAAATACGAAAAAAAAGAGAAAAGATTCGAATTTTTTTTTTTTTTTTTTTTTCAAGAAACCGATTGAGAGGGAGCGAAAAGGGTTGAAGGTATAAAAAGGGTTGTTGCGTGGCCGAGAGTCGATGGATTAATCAAAAGGAAACTTTGGCAACGTCGTGTCGCCTGTTGCATGCCGGTGCTTTACGCGACGTCAATTTTCGACGAGGTCGATGCGCTCGAAGCAAGAAATTATTCAACTCGAGGAATATCAGTGCGGAGAAGGCCAAGAAAAGTTGGACGAGAAACACGTTCCAGCCGTTCTACCACCGTACACTTTGTGTGCTACGTGCAAACCGCTACCGCTTCGCTCCCTTGCGCCAGTCTCCGATTTTTACGAGAAAGACTAGTTTTACTATACTCACTGATCCTCCGACTCTAGAAAAAAAAAATAAAAAAAAAACCCCCCCGCTTTAAACAATTCTCTTCAAACTTCATTCGACAGAAAACTAAAATAATTCCCCCTTGAATTTTTGAAAAAAAATTATAATTTCTTTAAATGTACGAACGAGAGAAAAGAATTCCGAAAACAAAAATCATTTACAGGGGGATAGAGATCAAAAGTCGATTTTGATAAATTGTTATAGTAACCTGGGTATAATAGTAACAGGAACCCCTCTCAAGTACGGTCCTGAACAGGAACTGCACCCCCAACCACAGAGCAGTGCACCTCGCACTTTGTTTTCCGTCACTGTAGCACAGACTTTTAAGTGAAAAAGGACTTTGAAAACAAATGGAGAAAAAAAAGAGAAATACAACCCTGATTTCAACACGAGTTCCAAATACCGATTACAAAACACCATTTACTTGTCTATAAACAAAAAAAAATGCAAACAATTAATTTCTAAATCGATATTCCAGTGAGGAAATCAAGAAAGGAGAGAAGAGAGGTTGGTTAATTTTTTTCGCGAACGCCTCACGTGCAGGGCACTTTTTTTCTCGCGCCGTTTCAAAGTCGGGGACTCAGCACTCCAGTGTCACCCTAAAAATCAATAAGGTTCACCTCCTACCCCCAGGATCGTACTCCAGGGGGTCGGGGGTCACGACGGCTGGCCGGGACATCATTCTATATGTCCCGCGAGGAGACTCTCGTAACCTCGAACACATATATACGCAAAAGAGAGAGAGAGAGAAAGAGAGACGAACTTCTTTTTTTTTCCATTCCACACGCGGATATCATTCATGTTCGTTGAAATCAATCTTCAAAAAAAAAAAAACTGGTGGATTTCCCTCACGTTGAAAAATAGAAAAACTGATTTACTTTAGTAATCAAAAAATTATTATTCGATTTCGCTAATTACCGCGATAGTATTTAATTTTTCGGACTGCCACACATATTACAAATTGTAATAATTTTTAAATTTAAGAATATAAGGTTCAAATTCATTCGAATTTTGACTTGTAAAATTGTAAATAATTTGTTTTTAAATATATTAATAATGACTCACCAAGAGTAATTTTTTTTAAATCCTAAATTTCGTCCTGAAGACACTGTCAGCATGTTTTATCCCAACATCTCGATTTAAGATTGCTTTCCATCAATTTTTGACAGGCTTGGTTAATAACATCCTCCCGGTGATTTGAGAAATTTTTCCTGAAATATGCAATTTAGTTATTTATCCAAATATAGTTAATTTTATTTCCCTAATCTTTTCAAAATTGTCTTAAATTCTTTTTAACTTTTTAGACTTTTATTAAATAGAAAAATAATATTGAAAATCAACAGTTTTATTTAGAATAAAAATATTTAATCGTTATTATTTTTCCATAGGAATTAAGATTTTCAAAAATTTTAAATATAAACCTTTTTCTAATTCAACAACTTATAATAATTAAAGATATTCAATATTTATTAGAAAATTCTACGAGAAGTCAATAATTTAAATACAAAAATAAATAATTTAATGATTATGTAATTGAATGTTTCTTACAATTGAATTCTCATAAAGAATTTTATCAACAAATTTTTAAAACAATTAAATTCTTTTGACGAATTATAATAAAATTTTAAAAAATAATTACTTATTTGAAGGAATTTGATTAAAATTGTATTAAAATAAATTAAAATTCTGCGATAAGTTTTGTTATTTATGAAAATAATTGAATTTCTGAAAAGAATTTTATTATTTTCGAAAATAATTCAATCCCTGTAAAAAATTTTATTATTTCTGAAAATAATTGAAATATTGCAAGAAAATTATATAAAATTTGTAAATAATTAAATTCCTGTCAAATTTTTATTAGTTTATTATTATAAATTATTTAATTTAATAATTAGATTTAATTATTATTAGATTTAATTATTCGATTCCGCTAATTACCGCGATAGTATTTAATTTTTCGGAATAAAAAGTAACAAAAAAAATTGTAAACAATTATCAAAAAAAATGAATAAAATTATAAAAAATTCCTAATTTCCGTATATTGCAGTAAACTAATTTTTAATGTTCAAAATTTTAGGTAAATATTGCGAAAATTCGAAATAAAAACCGATTTGACTGTCATATATATTACAAATTGTAATAATTTTTAAATTTAAGAATATAAAGTTCAAATTCATTCGAATTTTGGCATTTTTTTAGAAATTGAAAAATTGTAAATAATTTGTTTTTAAATGTATTAATAATGACTCACCAAGAGTAATTTTTTTTAAATCCTAAATTTCGTCCTGAAGACACTGTCAGCATGTTTGATCCCAACATCTCGATTTAAGATTGCTTTCTATCAATTTTTGACAGCCTTGGTTAACAACATCCTCCCGGTGATTTAAGAAATTTTTCCTGAAATATACAATTTAGTTATTTATCCAAATATAGTTAATTTTATTTCCCTAATCTTTTCAAAAATTGGCTTAAATTCTTTTTAACTTTTTAGACTTTTAATAAATAGAAAAATAATATTGAAAATCATCAACAGTTTTATTTAGAATAAATATTTAATTATTATTTTTTCATAGGAATTATAATTTTCAAAAATTTCAAATATAAACCTTTTTGAAATTCAACAACTTATACTGATTAAAGATAATGACCGAATGATAAAATCATTATTTTATATTAAAAGAAAATTGTTACTGTGCGATTCCATGGGAGATTTTAGTTTTTTCGAAGTAAGTAAACCAATTGCAATTAAACTTAGGAATTTCAATCTACACATAAAAAGAAACATTTTCACCAAATATTACGTCAAAATATTCAGTAGTTTTTGAGATGTCAAAATTTTGGAAAAATTTTAAAATCGTTATATCTTCTTTCCATCTTAACCAAATCACTTAATTCTTTTTGGAAAAAATTCAGCATAAAAAAACGAAAACATTTTTTATATTATGTTTATAAAAAATTTTTATAAACAAAAAAGTTATTAAATAATAATTGAATAACTTTTGCACGACTAAACGAAATTGAATGAGGCAAATACTAAACAAATTTTAATTTGAAATTAAAAATAATTACACTCGGGAATATATAAAATTTGTAAATAATTGAATTCCAGACAAATTTTTATTAGTTTATTATTATCAATTATTTATTTTAAATAATTGAGTTCTTTGAGAAAATTTTATTAAAGTAGATATTGAAAATCATTAAATTGGGAAAAGTTTTGAAAATAATTGAGTTTCGGAGAAAAATTTTATTATTTACAAAGATCACTCGATTGGAATAATTTCTAATTGAATAGAATACGATACGAAGTTGTTCCAAATTTTACTCATTTTAAAATTGGAAAAAAATTTGTTTTTAAGACTTGGCAAGAATAATTTTTTTGCAAATCTAATAACTTTGGGAAACAATAATTTATTGAAAAAAATTATGCTCCTAAAGTTGTGAACATTCAAATGAACGAAATTTATTTAATTCCTTTTTAAAATTAAAATATTATTACAATAATTTTGCGTCAATTAAAAACAAAAATAGGGTAACTGCACCAATTGCCGAGGGTGCTCCAATTGTCGAGGATAATAATTTTCTTTTTTAGATAAATAGTATAATATATAATATTTAAGAACAAAAATAATTTCTAAATAATCTTTGTATTTTCAACTGTATATTTATATATACAAATTTCGTAGCGATTCTACTAAAATAATTATTTAATTAATATTATAATTCACTGCTGTGAAATTTACACGAATCTCCGCTTTCTTAATACTTCAGGTTGATTGGAACAGATTTTTAGAAATGCAAATTAAACGTATTTATAATGACTTTTTGTGTACAAAATTATTATTATAATTTTGTACAAGAACCAAATTAATTTTGTATGCATGTTTTTTTGTTAAAAAAAATATTTAATATTTTTTAAAAGCAAATCATCGGTATTTGGTTCCTTTTTTTTTGACAGTTCCATTTTTCGAGGTAATGACTCGAAAATTGGTGTAGTCACTTTTTTCGCTGATGTACCATTTATCGATGGTTAAGTTTTTATTTACTAAACGTCAAACATAAATACCAAACATTTATAGGTACAGAGAAAAAGAAAAAAAATGCTCCAAAAATTTACAACCAACAGAAAATAATCAACCAAAAAAAACAAGGAAGACGGAAAAAAAATTAATAAAAAAATGCATTATTTAAAACTAAAAAATTTTGTACTATAGTTTAATTATAATTAACCATTATATTTACAGTTCGTAATAAAAGTTTATTTTATTCGTTTACAAATTTAATGTGACTTAAATTAATTTATTTTTTCAATTAATGTCTGATTAACAAAATTGATTAAATTTAATTAACTTATTTATAAAAGTTTAAAAAACAGTTAAATAATTTTCTGTCCTGTATCATCTACTATAAAAATGTTTTATATCGATATTATAAATTATTTAATTATAGTTAAATAAATATATTTGTTTTCTGGTAATGTTCTATAATATTTTTATCGAAAAAATAAATATCTACTCGATTTTCTAATATCTGTACAGGTTAATTGTTAGGTTATATTGGGTTATATGTTTAAAAATGTCATACCCTCGACAATTGGAACAGACCCTCGAGAAATTAGCACAAGACCATCGACAAATGGTGCTTTTGCTCGATTGACTTTTAAATATATTTTTTGCTTAACAATTTAGTTTATATTAAAAAAATAAAAATGAATATTAAACATTATTAGATCCTTCGTCCAAATATACAAAAATCAAATTTTAAAGTGCATTTACTTCCGAGAAAAAAAATGTCAAAGTCACATGTTGCCTAAAACCCTCGACAATTGGTACAGTTACCCTATTAATTAAAATTGTTTCTAAATGAATTACAATTTTTATTTTTTATTGCAAACAGTAATTTATAAAAATATTTCATTCATTTCAACGTTCAAAACTGGTGAATCATAAAAATTTTTATTTAAAAAAAAATTATTGGGAATATTAAGAATTGGAAAAAAAATTTTTTATTTCCCTGACTAAAAGTGATCGTTAAAAATTTAAGTTTTATTAAAAAATGATTTTATTCATGTCGAATTAAAATTCTTTTCACGTTATCATTCACGTTTCTGGAAAAATATAAAATTTTCTTTTAAATTTGCAAATTTAGAAATAATAATAAGAAAATTTCTTGTGTTAGAAATTATTTTTGAAAATTAAGACAAAAGACTAGCCAAGAAAAAAAATTAAAAGTTTAGAAACTTAAAAGTGTATTTCCTTTAATTGCCTAATGAATTTATTATTAATATATTGTAAAATAGTAGTTTTTTTAGTTTTGATTCTATTTTTTAGGTTTTTAATTTTTTTTGTTTCTAATTTTGTAATATATTCTAAAGAATAATATTCAATATTCCCTACTAATTATAATATTAATTTTTTTATATTAAGGTAATAATGAAAAAAAATCTCACGATAGGGAGTTTCTTCCGGATCCTAAATTCCACTCTGTTGCTTCCGCCAGCATTCTTCACTTTGAGTTCGCAAATTTTGACAATCCGACAAATTATTGACATCCTCCAATTTATTTTCTGTAGAATTAGAAATTTTTAACTCCGAAAATCTAAATAAAATGCAAACGACAAATTAAAATTCATTGTCTAAAAATATTAAACGTAAATATCAATAATAAAAAAATATAACATTAAAAACGAATAAGAATTAAATGATTTTTCCAATTCGCAAAAAAATATATTTATTTGCAATTAATATTTACTTATTATTCAACATTATTATATTTTTTCCGGCGAAGACATTAAAAACAAATATCGATACAAAAAAATTTATAACCTTAAAAACGAATAAGAATTAAACTGATTTTTTCAATTATCAAAAAAAAATATTTATTTGCAATAAATATTTATTTATTATGCAAGATTGTTATATTTGTTCCGGCGAAAACAATTTTTTGCAATAATCAATCATGATAATTAACAATTTTGTCTGGCGGCGAAAAAATCAATATATTTTTGATCGATTCGCAAAGGAATCGGAATGCGCAATGCATCGAGAATCCGATTAATTATTATAAATATATTTACGAATTGGTCTGAAAATTCGATTTCGACATTAAAATTAATAAATATTTGCAAGTGTCGAACGAAAAGTGTAAAAATATTATGCGCCTAACCGAGGCGATTGTGTGACAAAAAGCACACATAACCTTAAAAATGGTGAAATCGGTATTTTCCTTTTTTTTTACAAAAAAGCACCTTTATTTCTTATCTGACAACCGATTTTTCACGATTTTCAACTAACAACAAGGAATTTATAATAAAAAATTGCAAATAGAAGGTAAATTTCGGAAAAATATGAGAAAAAAATTGTCGACATACGTATTTTGCCAGAAACGCTTGGTTTAGATTGCAACGAAATTTTTCTTTCTCTATAATTGGAAACGCATATATTATACTAAATATAAAATGAAATTACCTTTGAAGAACAGTTTTTGACGGTAAACACATGTAATAATAGGAAAATTGTGTATGTTTACCGTGAAAAATAGACTCGTCGTACGAAAGGGGGGGAAGGGGGGACCGACGCCAGGCGCTGTAGCTCAACAATTATCGAAATAATGTTAATAATCGAATGAATCCTACAAAAAATGAAATAAATAATGGAAATCCAACTTACCAAACAGGTGTTTTGTGTTTCAGAAGAAGAATTTGATACAGATGTCTCGATTTATTTCGGAAATAAGCAGGAGCGATGACGAGCGTCTTCCATTTCTACTTCGCTAAAAAAGCAATATGGCCGCCATCGGAAGTGGAGCTGTGGAGGGGAGGTAGCATTTTGGCGCCTAAATGTTGGACAAATATGAAACGTTTTCTATTGGCCGTGAGTTATCGAATCAAATTCAAACCTCTATTTTTTCAAATATTTGAAAATAAATTATCGTTAAATTAGTTAATTAATTGATTAATTATTTAATTATTATTAAGTTAACCACTGAATTAATTGTTTTATTAATAAATTATTAATTGAATTATTAAATTAACAATGAAATTGATATAAATTAATAAATATTAACTATTAGAATGTTTAAATGATAATTATATAATAATAATGCAAATAATTTTAATTCAATGAAGTAATTAGTCACTTTAAATAATAATTACAAATAATTGACATAATAATATAAATAAGAATTTATGTAAATCGTACACTGCATACTAATTAAATTATATTATTAATGAGTTTATAGTTTAATTAGTTTCTTTAATTTTTAATTAATTAATTTTTTTAATTAATTATTTTTTTAATTGTTTATAAATTAATAAAAAATTTTTCAAAAATTTGAAAATAAATACAATAAAATAAAAATAAGAATGGAAAATTATATATTTTTAATTATAAGTTAATTAAAATTTAATAATTAGAGTAAAAATCAAATGAGTAAGTAAAATTAAGGAAATATGGTAAATAATTGAAATAAATAAACTAAATGAAGAAAATACGACAAGCTAAATAATTGAAATAAATAAAACAAATAAAATATATCCTAAAATTAATAAAATAAGTTAAATAAATGATAAGTTTTTAATTATAGTTTTTAATTAGAACGATTAAAATAGCAATCTTGAAAAAATGCATTTAATTATTATTATATTTAAAAACTGGAATGTAGAATATTATTTTTATTTTATTTATCAGACAAATGACATTATAAAATATTCATATATACCAATCAAAAATGTCAAAAAATAAATGATAAAAATTTTTTTTTTAATATTAAAAAAACAATTAAATGCACTCTTTGAAATATATATATATTGAATGCACTGCCAATTTGTAGGTCCTCTGTTCTGATAATATCTGTCTGTCTCGATAACCCTCAATCCGGGGTCAACGAGCCAGCCTTTTCAAATATAAATATATATATATATATATATATAAAATTGCAAGATGCATATATATGCATCAATGTATGCATATACTTATTGCAACTAATTTTTCGTTTTTAATTCTTATCATCTAATTAATGTGTTTGCTCCCATTGAAGCAATAAATAACATGATTTACTCATTATATATACTTAAGTAATTTTATTATATTTACGACCATTAAATTGTAATACTATTTTACTACTAATTAAAAAACTATAATGAAAATTCAAAAAACATTAATTAATTTCTAAATTAATTGATATATATAAAAAAATTTATTATTTGAACAAAATAAATAATAATTTTAAAATTATTAATTTCAATTAACTAAATAAATTATTTATAATCAAATTAATAAATAATTAGGCACAAATAATTATAAAATTATAAATATTTTTAAATATTCTTAAAATTATAAGTTATTTTTATTTATTTCTAATTATCAATAAAATATTTAATTATAATAAATATAATAATTACAATATTTATTATTAATTGCGAAAAGAATAATTTTTTTCTAAATAATTTTGATTTGAGGGGAATTTTTTTTTTTTTTTTTTTTTGAAAATGTGACATAGTTGAATTGATCCTCGATGCTCTGGGAAAGTATGGCACCTCAAGTTGCAAAGGAAGGTCTGAAAACACAAGTTGTTAGGAAGTATATGTGTATATATATATATATATATATGTATAGAGGTGGGGATAAATGGAAAGAGGCAAGTTTTGATGCAGGGTTTGGGGGTGTAGGTCGATGTGGGTGAAGTTCTCGTGAGAACTCAGCACTGAACGGAAGAGACCAAAGGTGTAGTCACGTGATTACTTCTCCAACTCATTTGAAAATTCCCTCTATATAAACGTCCAATTTTCAACGATATTTTCATCAGAAATTTCATTTTTTTATTTTTCTTATTTTTCATTTACAAATTTATTTATTTTTTGTTTAATTATTTGATTATTTATTAACTTTACTTCCCTTTTTATTTGCAATTCATTTCTTTGTTCATTTGTTTGTTTATTTAATTATTTATTTATTTACTTACCTTCAATAGTTACTAATTTATTTATTTGCTTATTTCTTCACTTATATACTTATAATTTTTATAATTTCGAATTTATTTACTTACTTCCCTTTCTTATTTGGAATTTATTTATTTGTTTATTTAATTATTTATTTACTTACTTACCGTCAATAGTTACTAATTTATTTATTTGCTTATTTCTTCACTTATACATACTTACAATTTTTATAATTTCCAATTTTTTTATTTACTTCCTTTCTTTATTTGCAATTAATTAATTTATATATTCGTTTGTTTATTTACTTAATTACCTTTATTAGTTACTAATTTATTTATTTGTTTATTTCTTCACTTACTTACTTATCATTTTTAATTACCAATTTATTTATTTACTTATTTTTAAATTTATTTACTTTCTTAAGAAGTAAAGAAGAAAAAATTTATTTATTATTTACTTACTTCATTTATTTACTTGATTACTTACTTATATTTGCTTACTTGCTTCAAAAAGAAGAAAAGTAATCAAAAAAAAAGAAAAAATTATTCGCAAAATAGAGAACTAAAAATTTGTAATGATTAAAATATCAAATTAAAATAACTAATTAATAATAAAAAAATTTTTTTTTCTTCAAAAAATAGAATTTTCTTCAGTTAAATTGTAATTTTGAAGTATATATAAGAAAAAGAAGAATGCATTTAGAAATAATGTGCGATGATTGACAAAATGTCAATTGCGAGCGACTCATCTTAACCAGATCCTCTTGAAATGTCTTGCCTGTTCAAGTCAGCGAAAAAAAAAGTGAAACGAAATGAAAAAAATGAAGGAACAAGAACGATTTTGCAAGGCAAAACGCGCCCGCTGAACTGGTTAAACAGGTTTATCGTTTATAGCCGCCGTTAAAGCGATTTTAAATTTCGCGGCACATGGCCGTACATTCCACTCTTCCTATTTTCTTGCCTTTTTTTTATCCAACCCTCTCAGCCAATGGGGAGCGTCTCTTAATTTAAATTTAAAAAAATAATAAAAAGCAAAGAAATGAAAAAAACAAAATCTCCAACCAAGAAATTTATTCCTCAATTATTATTTCTATATTTATGCGAAAATAAAATAAAAACAGAATTTTAAATCTTACTGCAAAAAATAAAATAAAAGAAAGATAAAAAAGAAGAAAATATTTTTAATTAATATATTTATTTAATAAAAATTTATTTTTCTATTTCATAAATGAAGAAATTTTTAGTTTTCTGAGAAAATAAAATAGAAACTGAATTTTAAATCTTTCAGCAAAAAAAAAGAAGACAAAAAAGAAGCTAATTGAATAAAGAAATTAATTAAAAATTTATTTAATAAACAAAGAAAATAATAATTTATTTACTAAATAAATAAATTAATTTAATAAATATAAAAAATTAAGAAACGTAATCAAAATTAAAAAGCAATTAAAAAATAAAGAAACAAGTTGCTTTCTTTCTTCACTGAAGAGTTTTTAATTTAATTTAATTGAATTTAATTAATTTAATTTGAAAATTGAAAAATATATAAAAAAAAAGATTCACATACGTGTGAGAAGTGAAAAATAAATAAAAGAAGAATATTCAAATAATAATTCTGACACAAATAGCAAATATGGAAGTAATATAATAGTGAGTAATTGAAGCCTGCAGCGTACGATTGCCTTGAGCAAATTACGATTGTAATTGTATAACTCTTCTGTATATGAAAGTCGTTCAGATGAGTGATTATTCTAGACCCCGCACGATGTATGTAATTTACGTTCGAGATATAAATTTTTTTTTGTTTTATTTCATCAAAAAAAAAATTTTTTTTTTCTCAACCGATAGTGAATAAAACTTAAATAAAACGATTTTCTTCATTTCTTCTTTCCTCCTGAGAAAAATCCTTCGAAAAATTCTCCTTCGACATGGTTCCATATTCTTCGTTTTTTTCTTCTTTTTTTTTTAATTTCGTTGTTGTAAGAAAAATCCGCAGCAATTATTTTTGAAAAGTGGAAAAAAGAAGTTTTGATAAAATCACGTAAATTAATTTTTAGAAAAGAAAAAGGAAACAGAAAGAAAAAATAGAAAATTGAGGAAGAGAAAAAATAGAAAATTGAAAAAAAGAAAAAATAGAAAATTAATATAAAAGAGAAAATAGAAAACAAAAAAAAGAAGAGAAAAATAAAAACGAATAAAATAGAAGAAAAAAGAAGAGAAGACAAAAAAAGAAAAAAATTATAGACAACAAATTAAAAAGGATTAGATGAAGAGAAAAAAGAAAACGAATAAAATAGAAGAAAAAGAAGAGAAGACAAAAAAAGAAAAAATTATAAACGAAAATTAAAAAGGATTAGATGAAGAGAAAAAAGAAATTGAGAAGGGAAAAAATAGAAAACAAATGAAAAAGAAGAAAGGGAAGAGAAAAAAAAACAAATAAAAAGAATAGGAAAAGAAGAGAGAAATAGAAAAGAAATAAAAAAGATGAAAAAGAGAGAAAAAAACAGAAAATAAATCAAAAACAGGAAAAGAAGAGAAAAATAGAAGACAAATAAAAGAGAAGAAAATAAAACAGAAAAAAAAGAAAACAAATAAAAAAGTAGGAAAAGAAGAGAAAAATAGAAAATAAATGAAAAAGAAAAAATTGAAGAAAAAAATAGAAAACAATTAAAAAATAGGAAAAGAAGAGAAAAATAGGAAACAAATAAAAGAGAAGAAAAAAATTGAAAAAAGAATTAAAGGAATAAAAAGAGAAAAGTTTAAGAGTGAGAGAGAGAGAGAGAGGAAGATAACTCGCAAAACGAGAAAAAGAGAAAAAATTGAAACGAATAAAGAATCATTTTCATTATTTCTTCATTTTTTGTACTCACAAGCATCCTCCTCTTATTATATCGCAAGAAAAAAAAAATTCACTCGATCTCATTTACACACTCGCATTCTTCTTTTTTTTCCTATTATTTATATTTTGAACTCTCACTCTAAAATATATTCGACATTTAAAAAAAAAAACAACGCTGCATATTA